ACCTTATAGAATCCCGGGATTTGTAGTTTTATGAAATACCAGCACTCTTTGGCAGAGAAGGCTAAATAGGTTGTAAAACTAGAAATCCTAGGATTCCATAGGATGGAGCTATAGCACTTAAAGTGCTGTCAAACTGCATTATTTCTACAGTGCAGATGCACTCTAGGTGCCTGCAATTCTTCCTTCTTTAGCACACTCACGAAGGAAAATGGGAAAATTGGATGGGCATTAATCATTACCACTTTGCAACAGGAAGAGGTTATTGTCTCCTCCTCCCCCTAAGACAGGGGTAGGCAACCTTTCTCCTTTAAGAGCCGAGGGACTTCAGCTCCCAGAAGCCTCAGCCATGTTGGTCAATAGTCCCATGTTGGCCAATAGCTCCTGGGATTCTGGGAGCTGAAGTCCCTCGGCCCTTAAAGGGGAAAGGTTGCCTGCCCCTGACCTAAGATGCTGAGCTATGGGGCAAAGTTTAAAAGGGAAGGCAAAAGCCCTGTATGTAATCAGTACAAAATGCTATAGAATCTGGGCAGAACGGTTTCATTGCTGTACTGGCTTGGTGGCAGATAGATGTTGTATTTGTTAGCATGTAGATATATATGTCTGAAAAGTAAGCCATCTATTGTTCAGAAAATTAGACATTGCTGTATCTCTCTATATGAAATATTTTATATAAAAAATAAAGTTAGGGCCGATACAGATGGCTCCTAAGGGGCAGCTCTGTGCTGCCCTTCGGAGCGCTGGATTGGGGTGGTGACAAACACACATCGCGACACCGATCGTCCTTTTTGCTGCTCCAAAGAGCTGGCAAATGCTGCTCCTTTTTGGGATGGCAAAAATCCGCCCTTAGAGCCATCGCTGCAGCTCTTTTGCACCTCTTTGGTGTAGTGTGTGTGCATGCACCATGCAGTCACGTGCACGGCGTGATGTGTTGCTTCTTGTTCTAGGCCAGTCTGCATCAGCCCTGGTGTTGTTTCTTGTTCTATGTTCCTGCTACATCTCAAATATCACTTGTGCTGAGTTGTAACTTAGCAGAGCTGAACTTATTGATTCCCTTGAGTACATAATATTGATTCATCTTTAATACAGATGTGAGTCAAGCTGGATTCATGACAGTTGTAGAAGTAACATATATGTCAGGAAAAGGTAATAGAATCTGAATCATCTGATGGTTCCTACTTAATATGCTGATGAAATTAGTACTGTTTGGTGTAGATGACATACCCTTTTGCTAAAGGCTGAGGGGTTGCTTCAGAACATAGTAGCACACATTAGGTAAAGCAACATGTGTTCATGTGAAACAGTGGAACTATGAGTTTAAAGGACTTTGAGAAAGAGGAAGGTATTGAGGTCTCCTTCTCAGGAACACACACAATATGGGTGAATCTGCTTTGGGTTGTAGCCCAGACTTGAAGGGAGCGATGCAAGTCACCTCATTCTGTTCCCCACAAATAAGTCCAGCAATTTGGATAGCTTTTTCAAACTTCAGATTAAACCTGGAAGTGGATTCACCAGTTGGGAATATCTGGTAGAAACTTCCACTGAAATCAGGAAGATATTTGTCCATGTAAATGTGATGTGGCCATGTATGGTTAAAATCAGCTATGACGTAGCATACCATAAAGATGCCATAAATGCTCCACATACTTCTTAGCATCCTGATCTTTCATTCAGCACAACATAAAGTGTTGATTATGTCTGAGGAAAATGATGGTATTTGAGCCATTCCTATTTCAGTATTAAGCATAGGTATGGTTGCTGTATGCCTTGGAGTCATTTCTGATTTACCCTAAGGCAAACCTGTCACAGAATTTTCTTGAAAATATTTGTTGGGGGGTTGCCTTTGCTTCCCTCTGAGGCTGAGAGTGTGTGATTTGCCTAAGGTCACCCAGTGGGTCTTCATGGCTGAGCAAGGATTTGAACTATGTTCTTCAGAGTCATAGTCCAATCCTCAAACTACTACAGCACATTGACTTTCTTAAACACAGAATATTTTGCAAATAGCAAGTTCAACCCCCCCCCCTTTGTTGGTACTACTATATGCACACTTATTTGGAAGTAGACCCCACTGAATTCAGTGAGATATATTTAGGTAAAAGGTAAAGGTATTCCCGGTTGACAAAGGGGGGAAGCAGACGGGTGGCACGGGGCCGCCCCAGGAAGCTGCGCCATGGGGCTGAGGTATCCACACACCTCGGCCCCGCAGCCCAGCTTTGCCGCCCCTGGAAGGAGTGCTAAAATAGCGCTCCTTCCACAAATTGCCGAAGGTGCACTGCAAAAGGCTCATGGTGCACCTTCAGCGACTCTTCCGCTGCAGCGTGTACGGACACTGCAGCGGGAGGTCATCCTCAGAGCGTCGGCCGTGCGGAAGGCTGGCTGTTCCAAGGATGTTTTGGGGAAGGGGTTGGTGCGCCCAGCGTGTGGCTGCCCCTCCCCTTCCTTGCTCTGAAGGTGGTGCTTTGTGCTGTCTGCTTAGCCCCAAAGTTGTCAAGTCATGTCCAACCATAGGGGGCAGTGCTCATCTCCGCTACTAAGCCAAAGAGCCAGAGTTGTCTGTGATCATATGGACAGCATGATTGTACAGAATGCTGTTTACCTTTCCACTGAAGTGGTACCTATTTATCTACTTGCATTTGCATGCTTTCAAACTACTAGATTGGCAGAAGTTGGGGCTAGTGACCGGAGCTTACCCCATCATGCAGCATCTGAGCCTCAAACTGCCACCCTGCCAATCTTGCAGTCAGCAGAGTCAGCATCTTAACCACTTGAGCCACTGCATCCTTTTTGATATATTTAGATATGTTTAGATATATTTAGGATCAGTTAAAAACTCTCTCTCTCTCTCTACATTAGTGTGGGAAAGATCATCACAAAGCAAGTGTAATTATCTAGGAGTTATGGCAACATGTAATTGAAAGATATCTGGATGATTTGTATGATGACTATAGTTAACTTTAAAACATTTATGGGTTTATTGACATTTCTCACATTGCAGTTCTGCTCTTTGACAACCTAGTGAGACAAAAGATTAATAGCTTTCATTAATATACAGCTGTTCAATTGGAATGGGAAGGGGACAATCTGCAATGCTTCCTCTGCATTTAAGAGCTTTCTCTAATAATCTGTGCTGACCAGTATTAAATGGCTGAGATACCAGCATTTACCTCAGATGTAAATCAGTATGTTATCCCATGTTGCACTCAATGGGAAACAAGGATAGCAAGAAGTGTGTGGAGCATTTATGATGTCACAGATTGTATTCCTGTTCTTTCCAATTTTATATGGGGTTAAAATAAACTGACCTGGGGAGTTTATATTTGGGGTGTATAATCTCTGTTTGTATTGGGACAGAAAATATTCTGGTATAAACTACGGTATCTATCTATCTATCCATCTATCTATCTATCATCTAATTAAAAATAAAATAATAAAGAACAGGAACAAAATCTGGGACTTCCTGGCATTTTAAATCCATCTGGCTGGGCCCTAAATTGTCTTCCTCCTCCTGTTTCTTCTTCCTCTTCCCACCACCACCACTACAAATTCTTACATCAAAAGTTGATGTGGAACATAAACCCACAATTAGTTTTTGCCCAGACTTCATTAGTAGGATGTGTTTTAATGAATAGATCAAGGCTAGGGAAGGAGCGTGCCACTATGATGCTATTTTTTTATTATTATGTGAAAGAGGCTATGGCCTCTTTAGTTGCCCTTAAGGTATTTGGTGTCCCTTAATGTGTCCCATGCTGGTTGTAGTTTCTTTGGATTTAAGTCTCAAACATCTGGAGGGTCAAGTTTTCTACACTCCTCAACTGTGGTGTGATCCAGAGGTTTGTATCCAAAAGATCTGGTTTATAATCATATAATCATAAACTCTATGTATGGATCTTAAGTCCCACTGAAAAGAACAATGTTTACATCTGAGTAAACATGGAGATGACTGAGCTGCTAGTCAGTCAAATAAGCAAGTGGGGGCTAAAGTAGTCAGAGGGAAAGGGGGGACTGGGCAAAAGAGCAAATGTCAAGGCAATGTTAATGGCATGGATGGTCTTGCCTGGCACCTGAATACTGGGGTATTCAGCTCAGTGTCACCTCTAAAAATCTTAGAAACATAGAGGGGGAAGAAGGTTCTCACTCTTGGAACCTTCTTCCCCCTCAAACATGAGTCATTACTTCTTTGTCTACTTTTAAATCTGAGTTAAAGACCACTTTGTTCAGGGAAGCATTTCCAGGCTCTGTCTGATCTATATTTACTTTTTTGTAATTTGGGTAGACAGTGGGTGTTGTTAACTAATTGTTGCATTATTTTTTGTTTTAATTGACTTTTATTATTTTATTATTGTGTGTATTTTAATTGTATGCCTTTGGAAGGTTTTTATTCTATTTTTTACTTGATTTTCTTTTTGTACAGTGCTGTGTATATTGACAGCGCTTTAGAAATAAACTATAATAATAATAATAATAATAATAATAATAATAATAATAATAATAATAATTTGGTTCAGCTGAGATAATTACTTTGAAAATATCCCAGTGTGAATTGGGAGATAGCAGCTTTAGCTATTTACGTGCTTATCAGATGTTTGCCTCCCTTGCCATAGAAATCCTCAAAGCAACTGGCCTGTCAAGGCAGTGTTTGAGATTGAAATGCTGCTAAAAACCAGAATCTAGAATCAGAAGAAACTGAAGCAAAGAAAAAAACTTGGAAAGTGAGAAATGTGGAATCAAGAATCTAAGGAGACCTAGAACTTTTGTTCGGAGACCTAAACTCTCAAAGATTTAGAACTCTGGAAGCTGTAGAAGACTGCAAGGGTGAGTACTCTGTGCAAATGGTGAATAACACACAAGCTTTTACAACCTCTCATCTGAGTTAAAAAAATTGTTGTGTTTTGTCCCCATCCCCCCATGATTCTATTTGACACTTTAAGATCCTGTTGTATGAAAGTAGAGAATCTGGCTCCTTTTACTTTTTCTATTAATGAAAGATTTTGATAAGAATGAGAGTCAGCGTGGTGTAGTGGTTTGAGCGTTGGACTAGGATTCTGGAGACCAGGGTTTGAATCCCAATTCTGCCATGTAAACCCAGTGGGTGATCTAAGGCAAGTCACAGTCTCTCAACCTCAGAGGATGGCTATGGCAACCCCCCTCTGAAGAAATTTACCAAGAATACCACATAATAGGGTCGCCTTCAGGTTGCCATAAGTCAAAAATGATGAAGGCACACAACAACAAAGCTCCTTTAATGCCCATTTCATAACCTTGATGCCTTCCTGGCAAAATTACAACTGCTGACATTTTTATTAGACAAGGCACAAAAAACTGTTCCAAAAATCATTTTGAAATATTGCCATAGCACTCTATTTGAAGTACCTCTTATTATTAAGCATTTCCTAGAACCCTTCGGTGAACACATTCTCTTTGCTCTCCAAGTGTGATTATAAAAATTAACGCCATCTCTCTGTTGCAAGCCCACAGACCAAGAATGTTGTAATATGATTAGCACTCAACCTTCTGAACATCTGACTAGTCAAATGCTCTTGATGCTGCCAGCGTACTGAAAGACTATGGATTGTAATGCATAGTAATAAACCCACCAAACAACTTTTCATGTGTTATTTATTTGTAGTCACCAGGAGCATAGCTTAGCATGTGGAGGCCCAGACATAAGAAATACAAATGATCCCCCTTCCACGAACACAGCCATCACTGCCATTTTGTTTGTCAAGGCAGGGACATGGGTCTGGCGATTTCCCAGTCAGTCCTGTGGTACTGTGCCCTTATAATTTATGTACAGTGTTTGTACTGTGAAGAAATTGTCCCAGATGGTTCTTAACATCAATCAAGATTGGCAGTAATCTGTGAATGTGAATGAAGTGATAGACTACAGGCCTGTGGTGGTGAACTTGTGGCACGCATGCCAGAGAAGGCATACAGAGCCCTCTCTGAGGGAACATGCACTGTTACCCCTCTCATGGCAGAGGCCAGGAGGAATGAGGAAGAAGGGGTGCTCCATTTCTCCACTCTTCCCATCCTGGAAATGCCAGAGGAAAGCCTTTCCAGGATGCGATGGGTGAAGGAAAGGAAGGCTCCGTTTCTCCACCCCTCCCACCTTGGAAAAGCTGGGAGATGTCTTGACCCCTAGAAGTCCCAGCCAGCCAGCCACCCCACCCAGCACTAGGTGAAACCCAATGCGGGAATGTCACTGAGTTTGGGCACTTGGTATCTAAAAGGTTCACCATCACTGCTATAGGCATGCTATTCATGTACAGGACATGATCAGGAACCTAAGGATCTAGAAAAGAGCACTAAAGCAAAGATTTCTGCCAGGTGGAAACTACAGTATTTCCTTATCCAGATCTCTAATGACCTATTGCCTGTTTGCCATCTCACCACTTGACAGCAGCCTTCCTCTTACTGCAGCATGTATGCACAACAGGGCAAAATTACAAATCAATATTAAAATAAATATATGAGATGGAGAGGGAGATAGCAATGGTGTGCAATGAATAGGAAGATGTCAGTCAGGCTGGAAGCCATATCTTGAAAAGGGGGAAAAGATGCAGCTGTTTTCCTGCTCACCCATCTAGCTGGCAATACAATTTTGGTTTAGCAGTTAAACATCTAGAGCAGGGACAGGCAAACTTTTTGAGGCTGGGCTGAGGGGGGGGG